CCACCATGAACTCCATTAAGCCAGAGAGTCGCTTCACTGCTCCAACACCTGGAGCCCCTCAATTGATTGCCTGGCTCGCTGTGGTGAGACTAATTAGTGTTCTACACACCTAGGGGATTAAACAGGAAACTGTCTAGTCATTCAAACAAGTCTTGATTGTTCAACTGTGTCGTAAAGGTATATGTTGAAAAGATAGCAGGTGTGCTGTCATATATTGTAACGTTATATGTAATTTTATTGCAAGTTTCTCCCGTAGACCTTTGGCGAATCGAACATTTATGTGTAATTAACATTTGTGTGTATTTCTTGTATGTAAGACACGAGACATACATAAAACAAACTGTCTCTCTCATACCTTTGCGTGAGGTTTAATTTTACAAAACATCTATTAATATTGCATATATCTCAAGGACAGTACCACATGATGAATATGAAGTAAGATGGAACAGATTCATACTTTGTCACTTTGTTTCATCACTGCAACCATATATTACCATGCATATACATTTTCCTTTGTCTTGACTTGATACGGTGTCCCTCCTCACTTAGCCAGATTCTGTAAAACTGGTCTCTCACAAAGCCAGAGTGGGGTTTGGCTGACTGGGAGTTAGAGTTCTGATAACACTTCGTCCATATGAGTTATAGTTTGTTTTAACAAAATGCTCAGTTAGTGATATTTGTGGTTCATGAAATGTGTTTAAGGGAGATACATGTACACTGATATGTATTATTGATGCTCAGTATGGTATTACCCAGATGATGTCATGTACTTTTGTAATCGTGTTAATCGCATAAATGTTATTTTGTCTGGAGACACATAAAATATATATGTTAAAACCAAATTTTGATTTTACAATTATTACAAAACGCACACTCGCATATTTCTTTAATCTTGTCACACTGTAGATATAATATAGACTATAGCCCTTGAACAAAGGCTCACGCTTCGGTGGCTAGTGCTAATTACCTGGCTCGCATCTCTCACTAGCCATAGTGCAATGTTGTTTCAACAAGACCTTTTAGGTGGGACTCTGGTTAAGTCAGAGTGAACGCTTGATACAAAGCGTCATGTGATGGGATTGGATCACGTTCCTGAAAGACTCCTTACTATCTCAATTGCTCATTACAGTGGTTGATCATTTGTTATGTATGACCAATCGTTTTATGATATACCCGTCACATAGGGGGAAGGACAGGTGACAGGTGATGGACGTGGCCTAAATTTCTGAAAGGAACATTTGGTGACTCAGCAGAATGAACAGAGATTGGTTATATCGTTAACCAATGGGTAGGTTGTGTTTCGGCTGTTTCGAATGTTTGAACTGTCGTGTATAGTTTGTGTATTGTAAACATACAGTCAGTTATTATAATGATGTATGAAACATACAACAAAACAGGAATGGGTGGACTCTTTGGCAAGTCAGATCTCAGATATCGAACAAAGGTTTGTTAGTATCTTTAGATAAGTAAACCAATTATCGATTGAAATAATTAAACCATTGAACAGAGATATTATTTATTATTATGTATTATATATATGTGATATGTATATATTCTGTGTAAACAACTTTTACTCGAATATTCAATTGCTAACGGCTGAAGGGATAGTGTAAATCCAGCAAAGGCCATGCAGGAAGCAAATGAACTGTAAGTCCCTCATGGTCCCAAGTATGGTGTTATATCTACAGTTGTTGGCAATCTATAGCCGGTTTCTATATTGTATTATCATATATGGGTAAAATATTCTAGACTGAACTGCACACGCTCCTACCCCCAAACCGAGAAGCATCGTGATTTAGGGTTATTTCTATAATTAGCACAATATAATAGGCTAATAGGTATTTTACATACAATAATTACACATAATAATAAACCTATATCTTTAAAACAATAATAATGATAATGTTGAAGTTTGTTGCCATTTGCACAAACATATATCTTAGATATATGAACTAAACCTGGTGATAAGTCTTACACTCGAGTACTAGTGTGACAGACAAGCCCATGCACAAAACATTCTTGAAATGTGTCCTCACCGTCAATAGTCATATTTACATTTTTGCATGTGGCCGGTCATCAATTTCAGCCTTCCGGGCATGTACCACACAGTCTCTGACCACAAACCCAAATTAGCCCACAGTCTTAAAACAACATTTCATGGTTAGTTGACTGTTTTTACGCAATGATACACCACTAAAAATGTCCACCTCTTTGTGGCAGGTGCTAATTAGAGGGTACCAATTAAATGTATATTCTACCACAATAAGCCCATTATTCCCCTGACAAAGGTTCACTTTCATGACATGTAATAAACCTTGTCCTGGCAGACAGAGGGCTTATAATTAATCCATGATGTAAAGTAGGTCTATGTAATTCGTGTTTATACAAATTGGGAAAAATATTTCCGCTTTTGTGGATAACAAGTAAAATATACATTTAAAACGGTATTTTGGAAAATTGTACCTTACTTGGGGCAAATATAACAGACAATATACATTTTTGACACTGACAATAAGAAAGATGAAGATGAGTGAAGTTATACTAATATAAAGGATTGGTTCCTAGTTGAAGGACGAGTAGAAAACACCTATTTTAAACATGATCACAACTTTCAAAAGAAGTATCTCTTCACGTGTCAGATGCAGTTACATTAATATAAAGCACAAATAGATAGCTCAAAGATGGCATATTCATGCAATCGCCATGAATAAATTTTGTCAAATGCAAAATGCATTATGTAGATCAACAGTAAGAACTATAACAGAACAAAATATGTATGATATCGTTAAACGTACACGCTCATGGGGATCCTTTGAAGGAGGAACTGAACGAAGCAGCAGTAAAATCCTTCCTATATATCCAAAAGATTTCCAAGGCTTTGATAGCTCATATTTCCAATTTTGGAAATGTTTGGATATATGATATTTCCAAATTGGAAATGTTTGGATATGACCATTTTTTCTAGTTGAGTTGTTTGGGTATGGCATACACCAAGACAAAATGCGTGTTTCCAGCAACTCTAGTGATACACGGTTGAATGCTGCAGTTTTTGACAGTGATTCAGAAACTGATTCAGAGATTGATGACCATGTGGATGAAGAGTGAAAGTGGATGTTTTATATATCTTTGCAGTGAATGAGTTGTGAATAATTACTTTTTGAAGATTTTTTAATGCTGACTTTTAACACTTACTTGGTGTCAAAATTAAGCTGTGTCAAGAATGTAATTTCACCCAATATGGCCCCCTGTTATATTTAGGGAAGCATAATTGGTTATAATAACAACATTTTGTGAATGAGATGTTTACTGTATATTTGCAAGAATGTTGTAAATACTGACTTTTAACACTTACATGGTGTTAAATTCAAGCTGTGTCAAGAATGTAATTTCACCCAAAATGGCCCCCTTGGAGGTCAAGACCTGTGATATTTAGGGAAGCATGATTGGTTATTATAACAACATGTTGTGAATGAGATGTTTACTGTATATTTGCAAGAATGTTGTAAATACTGACTTTTAACACTTACATGGCATGGTGTTAAAATCAAGCTGTATCAAGAATGTAATTTCACCCAAAATGGCCCCCTTGGAGGTAAAGACCTGTGATATTTAGGGAAGCATGATTGGTTATTATAACAACATGTTATGAATGAGATGTTTACTGTATATTTGCAAGAATGTTGTAAATACTGACTTTTAACACTTACATGGTGTTAAATTCGAGCTGTGTCAAGAATGTAATTTCACCCAAAATGACCCCCTTTGAGGTCAAGACCTGTGATATTTAGGGAAGCATGATTGGTTATTATAACAACATGTTGTGAATGAGATATTTACTGTATATTTGCAAGAATGTTGTAAATACTGACTTTTAACACTTACATGGTGTTAAAATCAAGCTGTGTCAAGAATGTAATTTCACCCAAAATGGCCCCCTTTGAGGTCAAGACCTGTGATATTTAGGGAAGCATGATTGGTTATTATAACAACATGTTGTGAATGAGATGTTTACTGTATATTTGCAAGAATGTTGTAAATACTGACTTTTAACACTTACATGGTGTTAAAATCAAGCTGTGTCAAAAATGTAATTTCACCCAAAATGGCCCCCTTGGAGGTCAAGACCTGTGATATTTAGGGAAGCATAATTGGTTATTATAACAACATGTTGTAAATGAGATGTTTACTGTATATTTGCAAGAATGTTGTAAATACTGACTTTGAACACATACATGGTGTTAATCAAGCTGTGCCAAGAATGTAATTTCACCTGCAATAGGCCCCTTTGAGGTCAAGACCTGTGACTTTTAGTGGGACATGATTGGTTATCATAAGTACATGTTGTAAAATTGACCTACAGTTTATATTTGCAAAGAAAATTGTGAACAATGAGTGTTTTTTTAATCAATTGGCAAGTAATTGAATTACTGTCCACAATGTATTGCAACCCTAATTGGGCCCCTTGAAGTTAAAACCTTGTGATTGATGTTGACATGTTTCTTCATCATGAATACCTGTTGTAAAACTGATACTATTTGTATGTAAATAAACTGATAGTTGTATATAAGTCATTATGACACACTGATATTTCAGACTTCTTGTTATTTTTCATGAGAACTGATAAAACCCATGGCCTTAGATCATTTAAAAAATATATTTTTTATGCAAAGCTATCTTGTCTCTAAACAAATAACATGTGTTCAGCCAATTCTGTTTGTGGGCCAAAAACCACCCTTATCATACCTTGTCCTTTCACGAATGTTTAGTTCGAAGTCAATTTTTACAAATGCCAACATTATTAGTGTGTTTTGGCGATTGTTAAACAATAGAAAATCAATTTCAACAATTTTGAATAAATTTCATATATCAAAAATAAAATGGGCCACTTTCTTTTGCCCTTGAGTGTATACTGTCTAATTTACCTTGAAACTGGTTGGAGAAAACAGGTTTGGAGTATCTAAGGAAGGCAGTCGAATGACCAAGCTCCGATGCTGCTTAACTGAGTCAGCTGAAGCCGCATTTTCTCGACAGGTTCAGGTCACCTTATTTCTCGCTGAAGGAGAGCGCCATCTTGGTTTCTCTAAAACATGGAGCCTGCAAAATGAACTTGGCGTGATTATATCTGTACGTGTTTGAACGAATCACTGTCACATTCAGTGATTAAGACATAGTTCGTAATGTAGGCCATTCAATTTTCCATTTTGTCTTTACGAATACAGCTTAAGAGGTTTACCGATTACACATAATATTCTACTTTCGCTAAACTTTTTATCAGTCTATATTTTGTATGAATGTCTTATTATGCACTGAGCGATTATCCCATTTAGCTATAAACATATTACACGGCTTAACAACGCAGTAATGGGCACAGTACCTTATTCAAGCTGTAAGCTGAGCGTGGGTTTGAGTAGTAGTTATTTCCCTTACCCAAATAGCTCTATTGCGCATGACCTATGCACTGTATAGTGTGCTATTCAGGCAGCCAAGGAGAGCACTCAGGGAGTAATTCAGGTAAAGAATGTAGGCGCACTCTTTCTCCTTATCTACACAGGTATTGCAACAGGTTGTTTGACGCGACGTAGCAGGAGGCTTCAACCAAGCATGACTTTACTGGCTTTGTATTGTTAGCTCTATGTGAAAACGTTACAGAGTAAACCAACTCTCACAATTTGACATTGCAGTCAGTGTTACATCAGTTTGTGTGTAGGATATATTTGAAGACCTTATTTCTTAACTTTGTTGCAGGGTCGGTGGGGTAGCCCAGTGGTTAAAGCGTTCGCTCATTACGCCGAAGACCCGGGTTCGATTCCCCACATGGGTACAATGTGTGAAGCCCATTTCTGGTGTCCCCCTCCGCGATATTGCTGGAATATTGCTAAAAGCTGCGTAAAGCATACTCACTCACTCACATTGTTGCCTGTGAAGTATAAAGTATTGATATCATTTCTGGAGGTCATAAAGAAGGGAATGGAATTGTGTGTGATTTACGTACGTATGTTTTAGTAAATACTGAATTCTCAAATCATATGGGGCGATGGGGTGGCCTAATGGTTAAAGCGTCCGCTCGTCACACTCAATATCCGGGTTCTATTCTACACATGGCTACAATGTGTTGAGCACATTTGTGGTGTCATACGCCTTGATACTGTTGGAATATTGCCGACAGCTGCGTAAAACACATTCAAATCATTAAGATCTGGGCATGTAAAAATGAAGTGGATTTCATTTTCTGTACCTCTTACACATACGGTACAAGCTATCTCATTTTTATCGATACTTATTGTTTCTACCTTCATTGCTCAAACTCATTCTAAACCTTGCAACTTTCCACGTACTCTTCCAGACTTGATTACGAAAAGGTAATATTTGCCTTCAAGAAGACTTTAAAACGATCTGTGAGATTCATATCATGTACTTTCGTTCTACTGTGAAGGCTAATATAAAAAATCCAAAAACAAAAACAAACTGATTGTGGAGCGTTCCGGGAATTCCAGTAAAACGTATGGACATTGTGTGCCAAAAAGAGTTATATTCAAGATGTTTGGATGAGCCTGAGCACCCGATCCCGTTAGTCGCCTCTTATGACAAGCATGGGTTGCTGAAGACCAATTCTAACCCGGATCTTTACGGATTTTATGTTCTACACTCTGAACATTTACATTGATAGTGCTATTTTTAGAAGTGTGTGCCCATTGTCCCCATTTCGTTGAGAGCTTGTTTTTTGGCTTCCCCTCCTCAATTCGAGCAACTGTTATGTCAGTATCCGTTGCTGTCTTCCTGCCATTATAAATGTTCATGTCATTGAGATATTGATCGTTTTGAAACACGCATACTTCATGTAACTATCATTTATTAACTTGTATTGATTTTGAAACTATTCACGAGTTTCCTTCGGTTGTAAGTGTATTAAAGTTTTTCACACTTTATAACACAAATATACTATATTCAAATTTACTTGACACTCTTTGTACATTCTGTATATCCTAAAGGTGATATGCACTACTTAGTCATTGCTCAATTTGTCGGTATACAAAGTTTGCTACGTTTCTACATTATTCGTAATATGGAAGCAAACGATGTGCTACGTAAAGTCAAGTAAGATCTTTCGTCTGAATTTAGATTCCCTGTTATTCATATAAAGTTCATATCCTAACAATGACAGACATATATAAATACTTATACAAGGCATAAATTGAAATTTTAAATTGGACAAAATTGGACAAACGTGTTTTTGACGTCAAACAAAGTTGACCGCTAGTGACCAAAGCGATGACGTCAATCAATGGGAAACAATGCTGGAAGCTGAAGCACCGAACGTCCCTACGATCCCAATTAAGGTGGAATTGCTTTGGTTGCTACTGGTCCACAGCCTAGTTGTAATTAATCTTTAATAATCTGATAAAAAATAAAAAATAATATTGACATGTTCTGTTTTAAAATACACTCTAATATCTTACTTTTACTTGCCTTTATAGTAATATAAGCTAGTGGGTACAAAGCTGCAATATTGCCGATTTGATGTAAAAATTCGACTCACTCAAAACAAAATTGAGGGAAGTGGTTGAATGTAACACATTTGCCGACTTTCAAACATTATGTGACACTGGTAATGAAATACTGGTTAACGTCCTGATGAAAATCGTGTTATTTCCATTTTAATGTTGGTGCTCTTTCACTGGTGATAAAAGCAACGGATTAATTGACACTAGAAAGGACAAATTGTAATATATGGCCAAAAGCCGAATCAATCCTCAAATTTGACATTGCTTAGTTCGACACATGTCAAATTTCAAACATGATTATTATGGCACTCAGGAATTAGCACATGTAAATTCAATAAAGTCGCTGAAACGGTTTCACCGGCAGCAAATATATTTTTATTAAAACTGTTTTTGATCACTCAATGGTAACTCCAGCGCCGTGTAAAACAATTATTGCTTCATTGTGCAGTTACCAGGACCGCCAGGGAATCTCTGCCGAAAGACCTCTGATTTCCACTACATTATGGGCGTCCGTTTATTACATACTATCAAATCATGATGATTGCAGGTGTTCAGTAAAAGCTGAGTGTGTCCTTACCCATCGCTGGTGAATTCTGGGAAAATCAGTTGTAAATTTAGTGTTCCTCGAAAAGGATATCCAGAATACTTAAGGGAACATGTAGCACAGAAAGTTACTATTAGAAGACATGGGTTGAATGTGGATATCAGAAAGAAAATAATCAAGGAACGAGGTATCAGAAGCTATTAAATGCAACGTGCAAATTGTCAGACAAGAGAAAGTTCAGGAAAAAAGATATAATAATAAATATATATTCCATTTATATTGCGCATTTATCCATGCACATTGCTGACAAAACGCTGACGTATTACCTCTGGTCAACGAGTACAGAACACTCCATGTGGAGAATACAATTGCAACCGGTCGCCTGTCAGGCGCTCAAGATTCAAATTCAGACTACCATCGTATCATACCAGATACCCAATTTTACTGCTGGGTGGACAGGGTCAGTTTTGAACAAACTCACTTGCCTAAGGTGAGACCACATGTATTACATGTGCTTCGTTGTGGGACAGGACTGATAGTCCAAGAAACTCTCAGGAGTCAAGCTGCTCAAGCACGGTCACCCTTCCGAGGACTGTCCGCGCCCTACGTTATCAGGAGAGAAGATCCTTACGATCATACAGTGCAGGAGAGACTATGGCGTCGAGTGACAGCAATATGGAGAGGACATCTGCATGACAAAAAGTGTCTGTACGCTCCTGATCCCTGATCAGAAACAACTAAGGGTCCCCGTGTCTCGTGAAAATGTATGTGGTTTTGAAGCAGTTTCAGCTGATGTTTGTTTAGCGGTTTGAGTCCCGGGTTCCTCACAATCAGTCCCAGACTTAACAGGAAGGGAAATATTCCAACAGACCCTCCGGTAGTAACACTCGCGTGAATGAGTGAGCTACGAGTTTAAGTCGCATCGGCAATATATCATGCCACATCGTGACTAAAAGAAGTTATAAATTGACGGTAAACACAGATCAATTTCACAAACCTGTCAGCAAAACAGTAAAATGACAATAAAGCAATTAGTATATCACAGAAAAGAATTTACAACTAGCATCTATCTGTTGTACACAGGGGGGTATAAAACGTTTTTGGTGACCTAATTGAACACCTGGCTGACCTCATTTTACAGGGGGCAATGACCTTGTACTGAGCTGACCGTGGGAAAAATTAATGTTACTTATGTAAACGGAACTTTCCCACTAAAAGAAAAGATTTCAATAAGGGATATGCTATTTATCAATTTATGCTGGATCCCAAACGCATAGAAGGGAACTGTTTGAAAACCTCAAAACAAGGCAACCTTCATTTGGAGTTACATTTTAAGTCAGCGCTTCCGGAAGGTATCAACTGTCTCATTTACAGCGAGGATCAGTTGATTTTTTTAAGTGGACGAAGCACGTAACATTAGCAACACCATGAATACACGACAACTACAATGCCTCTTGAACAAAGACAGTGTTACTAAAGGGATGGAAATCAAAGTGCTTGCTGCCAATCAGTTACCACGGACCATATCCACATATCCCAAAGGATACATTTTGAATAGCCAAGCCTGTCATCAACCTGGACAACACTGGATAGCTATTTGGATGCAAGATTCAAAACACACAGAACATTTTGACAGTTGTTGACAGTTATTACTGTCAACCCAAGGTTAAACGATATGCTACTGTATAGATATGTGTTTTCATTATGTGTCACTTATAGTAAACGTGGTCCTCCTCCTTAAAAGATGTCTTTGTACCCATCAAACTGAAAAAAATGTACAGACTGTGGATATCTATATAAAGGACAGGAACGGTGATTTAGCTTCATTTAGCCGTGGACCCGTGATAGTGACACTTCATCTGAAACCTCTGTGTTATAGTCAGTATTCATTCTGAACAAGAAAATGAACAGTAGATACTGGAGACCCTATCTGGACGACCCTAATAAATGGACCAAATATTACTATTTGCAGGCTAAAGGATATCAATCCCTTTACTAACATTGATGATTATGTGATCTATTATGAGAAACAAGGGGTAAAGATGGACCTACCCCATTCTAAAGAGAATTTTGCACTTACTTCTCCAGCCCAACAAGTCGTTCAACAGGCCAAAGCACGTATTCAGATGCAGGAGAACGGGGGAACTGAAGCCAAAATAATTACTACCTCTCAGAGTCGTCCAAACAAATGGAAGACGACTTTTTAGATAAATGCAGCCAGTAGACAGGTTTGCTGCCATTTAGACATGCACCACCATGCAGTCAGCAACGTGTCCCGTGTGCTATCAGACTTTTTCCAGAAGGGATGCCATGCTTAGACATCTCTGGAATCAACACAGACGAGCAACGCAGCCACCACCACCACCACGAGCACGACCAGCAACA